CATGAAGAGGAAAATTAAGAGCTTTAAAAGTATTCTAGAGTTTTTACCACTGCTGCAAAATAAGTAAGAGAGGGCTTTTACAAGAATACTGATGGAAATATATTGGACAAATGATAAGCAACTTAAATGTACATTATTGGTAGAATGAATAAATGATAGTATATACACAATAGATTTTTATAGAGCAGAGGTTATCAAATATAGTCCCTTAATTTCTGGAGACCTTGAGATCTCTCCAACTGGTCCACAAGGTCAAAAGCATTTCCACAGGACTGAAATGTTATTTGCCTTTTTCACTGCATTGACATTTGCCCTCAAGAGACAAAATATAGTGATGGATACAACTGCTGGTGCATTAGCACAACTTAATTAGTGGCCTCAGACTAGTGCTAGTGGTCATTCATCATTGTGTTACTGCTACACACAGTGCAAAAATAAAATCCAGCTGTATTTAGGAGTGTCCCTGTTGAAGCTAAAAATGTTTGCTTCATTAAATTTTTAACCTATAGCCAGGTGTGGTGGCACATGCCTTTAATCTTGGTACTTGGGAGGCTGAGTCAGGAGAATTGCTGCAAGTTTGAGGCTAACCTAGGCTACATAGTGAGTTTAAGACCAGTCTGAACTACATAGCAAAATCCTGACTCAAAAAAAAAAAAAATTTTAACCTGTAGTACTCTAATGAGTAGTATGAAAAAATAGGAAACATACATTTAGTATTCTTGTTTATCAAATATATGATTGTTGTTTCAAAGAGAAACAATTAGAGAATTATTTGATTTGTCCCTGAACTATCCCTTTTTTTCATGGAATACCTTTGTTACCTGAAAGACTGACAGATGAATTATGTGTCTTCACACTTGAGTATTTAATAAATATTTTGATACATAGATAGATAGACAGATAGATAGATAGAAAAAAATCCCTGGCTTGACACTAAAAGGAAAACAACAAATAGCATTTACTGTCAATGATAAATCTAAGCTTTCGAGAAAAAAATAAACATTTAGAAAGCTTCAACCTGCCACTTAACCTTTGCAGTTTGTCCACATTTTAAGGTCTTTTTCATAAAATCAGTAGCAATTAAAATAAATGTGATTTTTTGATAATGTGTAATGAAATGTATCTACATTTGGAAGGGCTCTGTAACTCAGGCAATAAGCAATTTTCACATGACTCATGCATGATTGTTTAAATAGTTCATGAATAAAGATGCATTACAAGGGAAAGGTAGACCAGTGGATTGTAATGGTACAGAATATGTAACATTCATTGATATAGTTCTGAATGCATTGCAACTAACTTGGAAGGATTTTGTGCAGAATGAATGAAGTACATCCATTTTCTTCTCTCTACTAACTACATATCTATGTCAGTTCAAGTTCTTCACATTCATCAACTAATACATTGAAAAATACTGAAAAAAATAAACAGAATATAGATGCTGTCTCTTGAGTCAGACATTAGACATGTAAAATTATAATTTTATTATAATTTATATATATAAATATATGAAGAAATTCTCAGTTTTGTGAAATGTAGTCATTTCTTCTAGAATTGTTATTTATTTAAAAATTCCATACGTTTATTCTGGATATTTAAATATGGAGAAATAATTGAGCTTTTTCACAATTTTTGTTTTAAATTAAGTAGGCTAATATTGATAGATACAGTCCAAAAATTTATTTATATTCTTTTTAATATTTACCCTCTTTTTAATAGTACTATCTCAGTTCATGGAGTACAGCCTTAACATAAATGATCCTAATTGGAGCCAATACTTTTTTTAAAAAATAGCTATTATCTGGCTGTGAAAGAGAAATTAGTACTTGTGTTTTGCAAAGGGAATTTACCACAGTTCAAAGCAAGTAGTGAAAACTTAACCTATGTGATGTAGAGATGCTGTCTCCCTTTCACATCTTGCATGCATTTTTCATTCTTTCTTCCCACTCAAGTTAGGTTAAATGTAGCTTCCTTCAATCTAGCGCAACACAATTGAATTTCTGGTGACTCCTGAAAACTCACAGGCTCATAATTTCCCCATCACTTACAAAGACTTTGTACCTGAGTGAAGGAGGAAAAAGAACTCTAAAGATACAGGATGTGATCTAAAAATACAAGAAATTGTCCAAATTTTTAAAAATTTATTAAATTAGATGACACATTGCCATTAATTCCCTTCATAGTACTCTTCCTCTATTCAATACACTTAGCCCATCATTCTTGCCACTTTTGTGAGTGTGTTTAGTTGCACTGTTGCAGCTGCCTTAATGTTATGAATCAATTCAAAACATTTACGTGTCATTTTGAGTTTAGGGAAAATCCAGAAGTTGCACAGTGCCAGATCTAATGAATAAGGTGGATCAGGATAACTGGACACACTTTAATGTTTTTATGATCCCACCTTTCAGTGGGATGACATGTGGCAGCCTCATTCAACAATTTTTTATCACAGCTCATAAAGACACTCACAAAAGAGTACTTCCAGAACTGTTTCGGAAAGTGGAAAGAATAGTGATACACTTTGTTCAAAGTGAGGAGAGTATTTTGCGGGGGCTTAAGGGCAATGTGTCCTTTACTGTAATACATTTTTCCTTAAATCTTTCTATTGGTACATTTTAGGTATACAATACAATTTATTTATATTCTTAATAATTTTTTAGAGTATAAGCAGATCTGAGAAAAACAAACTTGAGAACTGCTGCGAAATAATGAAAATAGTAATTTCTTTCTGTTTTCTTTTTAAAGTTACCTGTATTAGTTACCTCTTAGAGCAGGTGGCCTGGGCACTCCATCCCCACTTACAGGCCTTGTTTCAAATTATCCTTCCAACAGCACTGTATTATTCAGAGGAAGTTTAGTTTATTCCTCCAAACAATACTTTTCTTTGGAAAACAAGCCCCATGGAGTTTCTGCCATCAAGTTGTTTAACTTATTTCTAGAAGTCTAGTACATGCAGAATTGAAACTACAGGGGAAAAGTTTTAAAAAGTAGATCCTACAAGAGGAAAACTCAAGCTATTGTAACAAATATTCCTTTAAACACCAAGATAGCTCAACACTTCAGACAGAAGATTTGGTCTACTAAGGAATCTGGCCTGGTAACTACACACTTAGACCTCACGAAGTTAACAGTAAGTTACAAGTCAACCTGTTAGAGCGAACCAAGGTGAAAGGCACTGCTAGCTCTGCTTTAGTGCCTAATGTATCACAGCATTACTTAAAAGAAGAAAGAAATCTTATCTTCCCCATAAGCAGTTGTCATGCCATACAATGTTAACAAAAAAACCCTGAAAACAGATTATCAGCGGGAATGAAGGTAAAGTACTGAGCAGCATCAAGTCGTTCTTTGGAAGAGCTTAGTCAACTTCTTCCATGCGTGAAGTGTCACTGTCTCCTTCGAGGGGCGGCATCTCTTCAGTGACAGCAGCCGTGGTTTCATCAGCGGTGGGGTCATCCTCATCAATACCGAGCCCCAGCTTGATCATCCAGTAGATCCTGTTGGCACTTGTCTGGGGGTCCTCCAGACTGAAGCCAGAGGGCAGGAGCGTGGTTTCATACAGCAAGATGACCAGATCCTTCTCAGATTTGTCATTCTTGTCAACCTCTGCCTTTTGCCTCAAGGTCTCAATGATGGAGTGGTCAGGGTTGATCTCCAGGTGCTTCTTTGCTGCCATGTAACCCATCGTTGAGTTGTCTCTTAGGGCTTGGGCTTTCATGATTCTCTCCATGTTCGCCGTCCAGCCGTACGTCCTTGTGACAATACAGCACACGGACGTCACCAATCCGTTTGACACAACCACGTTTTAACCTTTTTCTCGAAGATGTCTTTCATGATCTTGCAGAGGTTTTCAAACTTTGTCTTTTTCTCTTCCTGTTTCTTTTTCTCCTCTTCATCTTCTGGAAGTTCCAAGCCCTCCTTGGTTTCAGACACTAAAGTTTTCCCCTCAAACTCCTTCAGCTGCTGCACGCAGTACTCGTCGATGGGCTCGATCATATAGATCGCTTCTAAGCCGTGCTTCCGAAGGCGTTCCACGAAGGCAGAGTTAGCTACTTGGTCCTTGGCTTCACCTGTGATGTCATAGATGTGCTTCTGGTTCTCTTTCATCCTTGTGCAGTAGTCCTGAAAATAGAAATTTCAGTATGAATGATTCTTACATATTTAATATTAGTTAAACAATAGCAAGTAAATAAAAATAACATAATCTCATTGCATCCAATTCTTATATACACACCAATAAGTAAAAACAATAATTAAAATGTTAAGCATGTCCAAGCAATAAATATAAAAGGCAATTTAAAAATTTATGTTAGCTTTTTATTGGATTTTAGGAAGATAATACCACATGAATGTATTTTTTCTTTTTCTTAATATTTTGTCTCTAGAGAGGTGCCAATTTTAAATCATCATTCCTATAATTCAAGCTTGTAACCTTTACAATATTTTTAATCAAAATAAGTAATAAATTATAAACACACTGTCAAACAATATTTGTTACATTAATAGGTAAAATGCTTACCAATATGTAATTGTCTACAATTTCATAGAACTTAGTTGAGAAAAAATATCACTTCCCATTTGTAGTCATTTTTGTTTCAAGATTCTATTTCTATTTAAGTCACATCTTGTCATTCTTAAATTATCTAAATATCTGTACTTTATCAGGACGTAATAATAATTCACTTGACAAAGTGCTCAGTTTTTAAAACTAATGGCATTAAATATGCTCAAAAATAATCTTACGACTTCTTATTTTCCAAAGTTCCAATTTACCCAGATTGTCAGATGAATGACAAATATGACAGACATCATAAATAGCAATGCACATGTATATATTTAAATTAATGTACACATATAGTCGTGGTAATTGCTTTTGATGAGTGATGGAATGTCACATATATTTACATAAAGCTTAGAAATGTGATAACATAACCTTTACTTCTCCTTAACTTTACTAGATAGAGTGACAGTGGCACTAAAAATTCATTCTATTTTGCTTTCAGGTTAACAGGTTTCCATCTGCCACCACCCGTGACCAGTACCAAATCCGTGTTCTCGCTGCGTCTGACCAGTGACTTCGCTGTGAGTGCCCATGGGTTTAAAGTGTATTATGAAGGTAAGTGATGGTGATACTCTTGGAACGATTTTCCAACTTAATGTAGTCAAACCAGCATTCTCCAAATATGTCATTGGGAGGAGAGTCAACATGAGGAGATAAATTCACGTGGTTATCTCAAATGTTGCATAAGTCTCACCTTCTAATTTATCAGTTATGTAGGACAAAATGCTAGAGAGAGTGAACTTTCCCCTTTCATTGCCACCACACCTCGAGACGGGAAAAACCTTCCCTCAACTTTTCGGAGGAGGTGAGACCATGAAATTGTTGGAAAAACAGAAAGAAATGAAATGTGATCGTAAAAGGAGATTAGACTTGAGTGATAATGTGATCCAGACAACACAGACTCTATTTTTCTCTTTGCCTCCCTACCAGAAAAAAACAACAACAAAAAAGTGGTAATCTCTCTTTGAAAGTTAGTCAAGAGAAGAAAATGTAGAGAAGTCCTGCATTCCTGAAAAATCCTGTTTAGTAGCACAGATTCCCAGATTCTTAACCACCAAATGGGAAATTAACAAGCTCACAAAACTGAAATTTTGCTTTTGTTACTGGAAATTTAGCACAAATTTATATAGCATTAGAACTTGACTTGAACTAATTGGAGGCCATTTAGGATCTTTGTTTTTGTCATTTAGTGTGAGGATTTGTACATCTTACAGTTTATATTGGTACTTTTTTATTAAATTCTTTTATTGGTACATTGTAGGTATACAACACAATTACATTTCTCATTGGGAATTGGACCTTTACATAATGCATCTTGGTTCTTATTTTTTCACCATTCCTAGCCCTCCCTTCACCCCCTCCACCCTTCCCTATTTACAAAGACTTTGTTTCCATTTTTTCCATTTCTCATCATTTTTCCTTTTCCTTCTTTCCTTTCCCCTGCCCCTCCCACTACCCCTGCCGTTTTGAACCTTTTCTTCCTATTTTGCATTATCGATTATTCATTCTAATCATTGGTACATTTTAGGTATACAATATAATGACATTCATCAATGGAAATTTGCCCTTTACATAATCTCTCTCAGTTCTTATTTTTCACCCTTGCCCAGACCTCCCTTCAACCCCTCCATTCCTCCCTATTACAAAGATTTTGTTCTTATTTTTCCATTTTCTCATATTAATCCCATTCCCTTCTACCCTTTCCCCTGGCCCTCCCACACACACTCATAGTGATCACAATCGTAAGGAATTTGAACCTGTACATGATGCATCTTGATCCTTCTTTATTCCCAATCCCCTCCACTCCTTTCAACTTTTCTTCTGCTCCCTATTAACAAAAGCTTTGTTTCAATTTTTTCCTTCTATTCACTTTTTTCTCTTTTCCTTTTGAAATAGTGTTTCATAATGGAGTGATATTCAGGTTCTACTGACAGTGTTAAAATGTGCACATTCTATACGTTTTCTTTTTATTACATATGTTAAATTCTAATGGCAAAAAGTAATATATTGAGATAGAAAGTATCACTTTTGAAATTTAGTTTCCATTGTTTAACAATAAAATTTCTATTTAATTTAGGAAAGACTTCCTCCTATAAACATAGAAATATTATATTAAAGTTGAACTCATCTCTCCAGGACTATGGTGTCAAAATGCATCTTAGCAGGTGTAATTCTGTTGTAGAGACACAAATAAAGTAATAGGAATCGTTGGTCCCTTTTCTTTCTATTCATTCATCTTTTTGAGGTGCCCAGGATTGTACCCAGGGCCTTGCACATGCCAGGGAATCACCCTCCACTGAGCTACATCTGTAAGGCTTAGGTGGTTACTTTCTAAAGCACAAAGCAATTGAAACTATAGCATGTTAAAAAAGCACACAAGAAAATCATACGTAAAATAGAAACACTACAATGTAAATTTTACTATTGTGCATCTGGGTGAAGAAAAAACTAAACACTATTTCATCTAGGGCTATATTACTTACAGAAAAATAGCCTTTACAAAACAACTGAGTAAAATTATTTTCTCCATTTTATATTATTAAGTAATATCATATACAGAAGTTTTGAACACTATATTCCAATACATTTCTGAACAGACTTTTGCCTGGCAGGCGAAGATGAAGTCAAAGACTTGCTTTCTTTCATTGTGATTATAATGATCATTATTCTTCTAAGCTTTTTCCATGATAGCTGAGTGTTCTTTTTTTAATTTTTCCAACTTAATTTGTTATAGGAACCACAAATTTTGAGTGCAATTTTGGTAATATTGAAGAATTTAATAATGCAATAATTCCCAGTAAGAGTTCTTTAATTAAAAATATGTATTCTAGTAACCAAAACATAAAGATATTTTAGGTTAGTTTTTTCCTTTCATAACATACAGAAATATAGGAAATGCAGTGACTTGGGGAATAAATGATTTCAGTGTATGTTTTTGATGTCCTAACCCTAAGTATGAGATACTAGACATCCAACAGTACTGAGAGATTGGCTGACATTCTTCAGGGTCATCACGTACTGATTCGTGATAGGTGTCTTTTACGCTGTGTCCTAGTTTTCCGTTGCTTCAGTGACAAATTACCAAAAATTTCACAGTTTTAAACAACACAAAATATGTTATCTCACAGCTTTGTAAGTGAAAAGTCCTTCGAGTTGTCTCTGATGGATTCTCTGCTCAAGGTCACAAAGTTGAAATAAGCATCTCAGTGGGCTGAGTTCCTATCAAAATCCTTTGGGAAAAGGTCTCTTTCCAAGTTTATTCTGGTGGCTGAAAAAATATAGTTGCTGGAGGATAGAGAACTGACATCCTTGTTTACTTGCTATCTGTCAGCTAGAGTGCAGCTGTAGCTCTTACAGGTCTCTCTCCTTTGTCCACGGTCCATTTATCTCCAAGCCAGCAACTGGTCCACTCGGTCCTCTGGAGATGTAATCTGTCTGATTTCCCCTTCGGATTTGTCTACCTACTACCTTCTTCCTCCACACATCTCTGACATCAAGTGGAGAAGTTCCTGGACTTTCACAGATATTCATAGTGTGGGTGCATCTAAATAATAAACATTAATCTTCATATCTTAAAGTCCTTAAACTTAGTTACATCTGCAAACTCCCTTTATAACATAACATATTCATAGGTTCCAGAGATGGGAGGAGGGGAGAACAGTTGGCCTACATTATATGCAAGTCTACATAAGAGGTTTCAGCAGGAGTTAATACAACATCTACTGATGAAGTACTATCAAAGCCAAAGAGAATAAAATCTTAGCCTGAAACTCAAAAGCCAACCTCTACACACACAGACACACACACACACTATTACTCTCTAAAGAATGATTTATTATAGAAATAAGGTAATACAAAGCAAGTATATTGAGGAATCCATATGTAGACATTATTATATATTATCGTAGACTGTATTTAATAGTTATATTTGCAATGATATATAATTTTAGGATATATCTATTAAAAATTCAATAGATAAAAGCACAAATAAGATAAATAAGAATACTGTCTGGAAAATTATTTCAAATACAAGATACTAATTAGGTCATGATTGATGATACATATCACTAAGTAATTAAGATATATGCATTAAATCCTCACTCTTAGCAAATGCGCTATTAAAATCACTTCCACATTTAATTTAGAAACATCAAAATTTGTGTTATAACACTAGCACATACATAACACTTGAATTATTTTCTTGTGCCAATCATAGTGACCTTACATAACTTGTTTTCCACCCTAGAAAATTATATGAAAAACAATGATGATTAACAATTTTAAAAAGCATTGATCTTAGTATAAAAATTTACTAAAATGTCCTACAGTTATACATTGTGGAGATTTTTTACTTAAAAGTTTCTGACCAAGTATAATATAGTAATAAATATAATGCTAAAATAATTACTGATAATGTTCATTAACATTAAATATAGAAGATAAAATATATTCTTGCATTATAGGTAGCCTGTATATTTTTGTCCTTTTAAAGTAGTTCATGTATAAAAAATAATTTTACTATTTACTATTCCATTTACGTCTCTTTCACACATGTTTATTAAAAGATTCGCCCTGAGAACATAAAATAACTTTAATGTGTTTTTTTTTTAATTTAGTGGTCATTTCAACTCCTAAGCTTTAAAAATTGAAACTGCAGCCCCATGAAATTTAATAGAGAGTTTACAACTCAGAATTAAGTAAATTATACTTCTGGCAAAACAATTGAGTTGCAGGAAGATAAGATTATGTTATAAAATTATATGTATTAGTTTGTAGCAATAAAGGTAGACTAGGCTCATAAAGAATTAATGGATATTCATCTTTAAATACTTTTAAAAATAAATGAGGTTCAGTATTTCAGGAAACACAATAACAGAAACATCATATATGCAAAGACCTTGTCTTTTGACTTTTGTCAAAAGAAAATCTTTTGTCCCTAAGATTCCATATAGTCAACCTAGTTAACTACTGAATCATCCTAATTCCAATGTGACCTTCCAACCACATGTCTTCTCTTTCTCTTAAGCAGTTCCAAGTGTTCAATCAAACTCCCCTTTGAGAATAACACAAATCAATCTATTCTCTAACGATCCTCTGAAAATAAGATAGGGTTATGATGAATGTGTAGATTTAATGTAATTTATCGATTTTCATGTATTTGTAAAACACTCAGAAAAATGTAAATCATTTTGATGTATTTACATTAGATTAGCACTATCAGTACTGTGAATGCTATTAGACATTAAGTGGTAATATCTTAGACATCTCATTTTAGCACAGAGTAGTATATACAAACTTCACAATTCTGTCCAGTTGTAGTTGTGTCCCCAGCCATAGTATCAATTCATAAAAACTGTCATTTGAACATGTATTAAATTTGTGCATATACTTTCCTACAAAGCCTAAACTTAACTCAGTCTGTTTCTTCTGCTCCAGATATCCTATACACATACATCCCATACACTTCCCCTTCCAAACGCTGTGCAGGCCTCAATCACTCCAGAAACCATTATGGAATCCAGGATTGGGCTCAGTGCCCAAAGCCCTTTTTCTAT